ATATGGATAATTTGGTCCTTGTCTGCCAGTTACAGAGATGGTGATTCTTTTTTTTTTTTTTTTTAATTTATTTATTTTAGGGAGAGTGAGAGAGAGCTCAAGCGAGCACGAGCTGTGGAAGTGCGGAGGGAGAGGGAGGCAAGCAGACTCCCTGCTGAGCGGGGAGCCAGGGCTGGATCCCAGAACTCTGAGATCATGACCAGAGCTGAAATCAGGAGTCGGATGCTTAAGCGACTGAGCCACACAGGCGCCCCTGAGCCATGCAGACGCCCCTGGAGATGGCGATTCTCTAGTAGCGGTTTTGTAAGCGGGGACGCTGTGCAATATGTGGCATTGTGACGGCAAAAATAGGCAGATGAGCTCTCCTTTGGCTTGGTTTTACTGGGAGTGTTGGGGAACACCCTCCTTTCCCCTCCTGTTTCCACATCCTATTTTTGAACCTGGCATATTAGGGCCTAGGGATCAAATGACCAATGGGACCAACAAACCTGCGTGATTGCCCTGCCTCTGCTTTTCCGAGCACCTCAGCTCCCTGGGTCTGCCTCATCCCCAGGGCGACCGAGGGTCTCCAGCCTGGGCTAAGGAGACCCAGCAGCCCCCATCTCCTTTCCTGGGCTCACTTCTCAAAATCTGGCACTTAGTGTTTTATGGAGTAGCTGCCCCATGTCAGGAGGCTACCCGGCTTTAATCTGTAAACTATCCCTCTCTCCCCTGTGTTGTGGCCTAGGGCCAGCCTGGCCGTAGCCGGTGACCTTTCTTGACGGGTACAGATGAAGTCCCCAAGCCTGTGGGCAGGGGCCAAGATTCTGGTGTGCACTTGCCACGATCTTGCCAACCAGTTTCTCCTCTCTGGGTCTCTGATTCCTCATCTGGTGTTCCCAGTGGGGAAGTTGTTGGCATTTTGCATGGGATGTTCCTTTATTAAATGTCCTAGACATTACAGGAAGTTTAGCTTTCCTGGCGCCCAGCCACTAAACGCCAGCAGTGTCTGCTTTGTCACCCTGACAACTTCAAACCCCCCACAGTACGCCTGTGTGCGTGTATGCGGACACACACACACACACACACACACACACACTTCCAAATGGCCCCGTGGGGCTGGTTCTGCTCCGGGACTATGTTCTGAAGGGCCTCCCTCTCTCCTCATCTGGTAAATGGGCCAGGGAGGTTCCCCAGAACCCGAGGAGCCTCTTCAGGAGCAACCGCAAGACCTGCCCAGGGCCAGAAGGAGAGGCTAAGTGTGCCTCTGCTCTGTTCCCCACAAAGTTCCGCTTAGATTTATTTAATCTATATCAGTTCCACAAAATAGCTTGTTTGGAGAAAAACCCCTGTGGCTAAAAGAAGTGTAAAAGCCACTGGACTGGATCAGAGGTTGCTAAATGACAGCCCAAGGGTCCAACATATTCTGTACACATGTTTGTTTTGGCATGGGATTTTAAGATATTTGAAACTAACATTAAAAAAAAAATTCTGGATTTAGGCTTCTTGAAAGGATTAAAAAACAACAAGGAAATGGGAAGATTTGGCGACACTGAGGCCAGATCTCTACCGGGCAACAGTGGGCTTCAGCTGAGTACTGGCTACCCACTGAAGTGGGGCCTCCAAACGCTTGTTTCTTTTACTTGCTTGGCTCTGGAGGCATCTGTGTGCAATGCTTGGATGAGCTCAGTGGTTCTCAACTCAGAACACCTGGGGGAGCTTTAAAATTCCAGTGCTAGGGCCCTAAGCCAGACTAACTTAAAAACTGTCTTTGGGGGTGGGGCCTAGGTATTAGTACCTTTAAAATCTCCGCAGGTGATTTTACTGTCATGAGAACCAACAGATTCTAGAGGATCTCTAGTTTGGAAACTGGTACTTGCTCCCTACCCTCTTGCCCCTTAGGATCCCCAGCCTCTTTCCCTTCCTCTGGAAACCCCTGATTACCCCCAGAAATAGCCCCATCGGTCCTCTTGCTTAGTGAGTGAGTTCTCACTTGGCAGTGCATCCATCTGGCCTCCCACTGGACTCAGTGCTCTCTGGTCAGATCCAATCACTGTTCTGTTCTTACGGAGGCCCCACAGGGCTCAGAGCCCTCTCTTGGGGTCCCAGCCCCACCACTGGAAACTGCTAGCCTCATACTCACTAGGTGCTATCAGCCTCTGCCACAGAAGCAAGTCCGGGCTCTTTCCTAACACTTCATCTGGAGTGACACCTTCCAAGACAGTGCTCTCTGGGCGTAATTCATTTGTATAAATCCCCAAAAGTAACCTATAAAGTAGAGTTCTCCAACTCAGCACTGTTGACATGTGGGGCAGAAAAGTCTTTGCTATATGGGCTGTCTTGTACATTGAAGAATGTCTAGCAGGATCCCTGGCCTCTATCCCCTAGATGCCAGAAAGACTGCAATCTCCACCCCTACCAAAAGTCATGACAACTAAAAGAGTCTCAGGACATTGCCTAATGTCCTTTGGGGCCCCAAATCACACCCACTGAATACCACCGTTGTAAAATAATTCATGGTCTCACTTTCTCTTAAGGCATAGATGATATTTGCTAATACTGCCATTCTTTTTTATATTTTAAAGATTGTATTTATTTGAGAGTGCATGCACACACGCGTGCACACGAACGAGCGAGCGAGAGAGAGGATGAGGAGGATGAGTGGGAAGGGGTAGAGAGAGAAGCAGACTGCCCACTGAGCAGGAAGCCCTACTTGGGGCTCGATCCCAGGACCCTGAGATCATGACCTGAGCAGAGGTCTTCACCTCTGACACTTAACCAACTGAGCCACCCAGGTGCCCCTAATATTACAATTTTTATGCCCGCCTCATACCTGTACACTCCCCAACCTTGTGTCCCCTGGGACCCCAGTTTCTCTTTACTGTAAATAGATCTCTCTAATCCTACCCACCCTTAATATTTGTTACCACACCTGTGATGACACATCCATTCATCCAGTTGCCCAAAAGCCTAGAAGTCTTTTTTGATTCCTCTGATCCTCAGTTTATGTAGCCAAGTAATCAATAAGTCTTAGGGGCTCTAGGTTAGACCTATCCCAAACCCTGCCACTTCTTATCATTTCCATTGTTACTAATTTTGTCATTTTTTTTGGTCTGGATGATTTCAATAGTCTCATTTCCTCTTCTACAATCCATTCTCCTTCCTGCAGTCAGAGGGGTCTTTAAGGAATACAAACCAGAATGTGTCACTTAACTGCTTAAGAGTTTTTGGTGGTTTCCCATTCTTAGACTAAAACCCAAACTCCTTATGAGGGCCTATGAGGCCAATCTGGTTTCAGCCAACTCCTCCAGCCGCTCTTCAATCTATTTTTCCCCTATTACATTCCCATTGACTGGCTGCCTTTCTACATCATGGCTACACCAAAAGCTTTCCTGCCCCAGGACCTTTGCACATGTCATTCCCTCTGCCTATTACTTTTTTACATCCTGGTTTCTACAGCTGGTTTCTTCTTAAGCTTCAGAGCTCATCTTAAGGGTCACAGTTGCAAATAGTCACCCTCCCCCACCCCAAGTTATTCAATATCCATTGAATAAAGTGGATCAATCCATTACATTTTTTATCTAATTTTCAAGCAATTCTTACAAACTGTAATTATCTTGCCCATTTTTTAGTTTCCCTCTTACCCTGGATCTTGCCCCAGAAGCATCTGTGTGGATAGATCCCTCCTCTTCTCCATTACTATACCCTAGGACCTAGCACAGTGCTTGGCACACAGCATGGGCACAATCAATTCCTACGGAAGGAATCAGTAAATGGATACTTGCAAGCTTCAGATCTCAGACTCCTCAATGTACTCATGGTAGAGGATGACGGATGCTCTTCCAGCTCTGACATTTTATGATGCCATAGACTCTGCACCAGAAAAATGTCAATTCACAGTGGGGTGCTGGGAATTCCATGAGTCACTCAGGGGATTATTACAATCTTAGTGCCTCTGTGACCATAATAGGCCTTCTTTGGTGGAAGGATACTGATTTCTTAAATGTCAGTGCTAGAAGGAAACTTAAAATCAAGGCACAATCTCTTCATTTGACAAGTCAGGAATCCACCCTTGAGCTTTATTGTCCACTCGCCAAGTGCACCTGGCACTGAGCGATATGGAAGACAGCCCCGTTCTTGCCGAGAGGGTCAAACCACCTCGTGCCATTGGTGAAAGTACTGCCATTCTCATGGGCCTGGCTGGAGTGGCCTGGCGCTTAGTCAAAAGTTCTGGCTATGGCCTGTACTTTCCGCCAGTAGAAAGGAAGAATTTGCACCCTGTTATTTTCACCTGAGGTTGGCAGAAAAACTGGTCTCCCAAGAGTTTGTGATGATACCTGCTCACTCCCGATATCAAAGGGGAATTGCGTGATTTTGAAGAGTTTACACTCTCCCCTTAAAATAGATATGGCTTAGCGCCCCGCTTCCGATGTCCATCAGTGGAGTGGAGCAGGAGAGCAGCGTGAGAACTAGTTGTCAAAGATGATTAAGAAGAAGAGGCTTAAGACTAACAGGAAGGAAAGGAAGCTCATGGAAAAGAAGGATCATAGAAAAGAGCAAGGAAATGTTGCCGTACCAGCTGCTATACGGGGCTGACTGGAAACCCAAAGGCCCAAGGAGGAGGGCTGGGGAAGAGGGTGAGTCTCCTCCTGGGCTGTATGTCACTCTCTGCCAAGAATTTGGCATGGGACGATGGGCCAACCCTGTCTCCTCTCTGGTCCTCTGTGAAATGAAAGGGGTGGGGAAATGGTCTTGGAGTAATTTCTAGAGTCCTCCTTATTTGTCACTTTTTGATGCAAAACCACAGACAGATCCCCAAATAGAACCAAGAACCTGCTCTGACATCCTTTCAGTTATGTGCCTGTTTATTCAAAGTCAGCCGGTGGCTTTTGAAAAGGCTGATGGACCAGAGTGATGCAATGAAGGAACAAGTGGTAAAATGCAGAGCTACTTCCCTTCGCTCAGGCAATCAGCCAGGCATCACAAAGTTCCTGACGACACCTGAACACCACCCCACTTCTTTCTCCCCAGAGCCCAAAGTCCCAAACACTTTGAATGAAAGCCAATAATAAAAGCCCTTCCATTTGTATACATGCCTTTTGAAGCTCATAAAGTGTTTTCACAGATTTTATTTCATGTAAGCCTCACAACAAACGTGAGAGGTATTATTCTTCTCAAATTACCGACAAGGAAACTAAAACTGAGAGCAAGTGATTTGCCCAAGGTCACCCGGGGTGCCAGTCAGCCCCTGTCTTCTCTCTGTTCCTTTGCTCATACTTTTCCTGCTGTGCTCTGCATCCTGGGGACCAACAGGCTGCAGTGTGGCTAAGGAGAGTGCGCGACAGCAGACTGGGCGAGAGGTGGGGAGAAGCTGCCTATTTCTCCTCTCTCTCTGCCTCCAGGGGCACCTCCCGCAGCGGCTTCAGGTGCTCTGTCAAATAACCCAGCTGCAGCCAAATAATTCCCTGGCTTCTGGGGTCTTGTCACACCACCTTCTCCTGTGTCCTTCCACAGGAGCTCAGGAGCTCAGGAGCTGCCGCATCCTCCTGCTGTTGCTAATCTCTGGTTCCTCACCGTCCCTGTTTGGCTCCCCAGCTCTTCTCTCACCTGTGCCTCCAATTCTTGATATGGAATTTCTTAGGTTGAAGGACCTAAAGTGGTTTCCATTCTCCTGGTTGGACACAGCCCGAATCCCCTGGCTGGGCAATCACTACTATGAGGAAGCTAGAAGCATGGCAGAAACGGCCCGAGACAGAATAGCAAGTGTGCATGTGTGTGCGTGAGTGTACATGGGTAGGCATGTGCATTGCACTATTAAATGGTGAGAGCCTTTTTACTCGGGAACTGAACTTACATATCTTCAGATCTCAAGGCTCTAGCACCATGCCTGGCATGCCTGATATATCGGTCGGTTTGGTAAAACAAACCCAGCCAGAATGGCTGTTTAGTTTATCACTCTATCTCAAAGTGTCTATTAGACATAAGAAATACAGGTCCCTCTAGTCTATAAAACATACCGGTGAGCAATTCAGCCACACTCGGCAGAACCACACAGGGAAGAACATCATCAGTGATTTCTATGGGCTCTTTCTGACTTTGAACCATAGTGGTTATTTTAGATGAAAGATATTAATTACTTGAAACTTGGGGAAATGTACAATTGCCAAAAAAAAAAGAAAGTGGGTGAAAACTGGATGAAAGACATGGGAAAACATGGGGAAAAAAAAACATTCCTTTTTTTTTTTAGATTTATTTATTTATTTATTTGACAGAGAGAGGGAGAGAGAATACAAGCAGGGGGACAGTGGGAGAGGGAGAAGCAGGCTTCCTGCAGAGCAGGGAGCCCGATGCAGGGCTTGATCCCAGGACCCTGGGATCATGACCTGAGCCGAAGGCAGACGCTTAACAACTGACCCACCCAGGCGCCCCAAAACCCATTTCTTTAAATTATGTGCTCATGCAGGCCAAGTTTAGCAGAGTGTAGCTTTGGCCCAGGATTGAGAGATCTGGGTGCTGGGGTCAGCTCTGCTACTAACCAACTGTCTGGCCTTGGGCAAGTCCTTCCTCTCTGGCCCTTGGTTTCCTTGTTGGTAAAATGAAGAGGTACGATGACATGATTTTGTGCTAAAATATCCAAAAGCTTGTCAGTGTCTAGACCATAAAGCCCAGTTTTCTTATTTTGTGAAATAAGACCTCACCTAATCTGACTGTGATTTACCTTCGCAGCCTCTCTGCACTCCCCAGCCCTCCGTGCCGCCCGCTCAGCCATCACCTTACGGCTCTCGACCTTTACAATCTTATTCTTTCTGTTTGTAATTGTCTTCGCTGCTCCTTACCCCACTTTGTGGCTCAGCTTTAGTTTCCCTCCTTTTTGCAGTCCTCTCATTTCCCCCTCCTATTGGGAAAAAGGAATAAGATGCTTTGTCGGGGAGAGGCAGTGTGGGGCGCTGGTTAAGAGAGCGGACTGTGGGGCCGGAATGAGTGTGTTTAAGCCCTGGGCCTGCGATTTACCAGCTGTGCGGTGGCGGGGGCCGGGGGGGAGTCACTTCTTGGCTCTGTCTCAGTTTCTTCATCTGCAAAGTGTTGATCATTTTCCTGGTTGGACACAGACTAAATTACTTTGCTGGGGAATAACAATTAGTCTGGGGGCTGTAAATGTGGCAGAAATGGGCTGAGGCAGCACACCAGATGTGTGTGTGTGTGTGTGTGTGTGTGTGTTTACTTATTAAACAGCCAGAGTCTGTCTTCTGTGACTTAAGCTTGTACGTTTTTGGATCTTTAAGCTCCAGCACAGTGATCGATGTGGTAGGCACTAGGGAATGTTCGCTGACGTTTAGTGACACCTTCTGTGCCTAGAAGACAGCATGGCGCACGGGAACGCTTGGTGCTGCAGCCATTTCTATTATCACACCATTGTCTGGGTTCCACTGGCTTCGTACTTCCCTGTATTAGAGCACAGATCTGTCCATTTTTGTGTTCTCCCCAAATTCATATGTTGAGGTGTCAACTCCCACTACTTCAGAATGTGGCTGTATTCAGAGGTAGGGGCTTTGAAGAGGTGATGGAGTGAAGACAAGGCTGTTAGGGTGGGCCTGCTCCAATCTGGCCGGCGTCCTTCAGAGAAGAAGGGATCCGGACCCAGAGAGGACAGCAGAAGGGGTTTGGGACCCTGTGAAGAGGCAGCGGGAGGGTGGCCTCAGAGGAAACCAGCCCTAACAGCACCTTGATCTTGGACTTCCAGCCTCCACAACTGTGAACAAATGAATAGGTGTTGTTTCAGGTACTCCGTCTGTGGTGTTTTGTTCTGGCAACCCTAGCAAACTAATATAGAAACTAAGTGTTTTGTTTTGTTTTGTTTTCTCAGAAACGAAGTTTTTATTCACGTATTCAGCAAAAATTTACGGAGCATCTGTTATGTGCCAGGCACCAATTTGTTACCGAGTGCTGAAAAATCAAAGAAAAAGAAAGAGCTTCTGTTTTCAGGAAGCTACTAGTCTGGGGGAGAGATGGACATCGATAGATCATCTCAGGGAGAGTGTGGTTAAGAGCGAGCAAGGGGACATCCATGCCCTCTGAGGGTGCATCGTGCTGGATGGGGGTGGGGATGACAAGAAAGGGGGGTTTGGCCTTGTGTATTGTTTTATGCTTTGTACCCCTGCGGTGCTGAGCTCACAACCCATCCTCGGGGTGAAGTGAGGAGATTTCTTAGCCCTCAAGGGAACAGAGCCTAAGGGCAGACTCTGCTAACTGTTGACTGTTGACAAGGCCCCACAAAGCTAGGGCAGTGGAAAGGCTGATGGATGGGAAGGAAGAGGAAGTGGGTTCTCCTCACAGCCCTACCACAAACTGGTGGTGTGGTGACCCGGTACAACGCCCTTCCTCATCTGGACCTCTATCTCCTCATCTTTAAAACATGACCAGGTTGAGATAGTTCATGTCTCAGATCCCTTCCAGCTCTGCAAAAATCTTTTCCGAAATCGAGTTCACCAAAGATACAGTCTGAGTCTCAGTTTCCTTTTTCATCACTTGAGGGTGTTAGTTATCTTTATCCTCTTTTTAATTCACAGAGATTTTATAAGCCTGTGAGCATTTGGAAACTCTCAAACCTTCCATCCCTGAGCATTGATTAATTTCAACAGACACTCGCCCCTGAGTTGAGTATGAGCTAGATGTAATGGGGTCTGGCCTCCATTTCTCCATTGACTCCATTCAGTTGTCAACACTTATAATGGTTTATCTTCCAAACAGGAAGTCATAGAAATACAGCCCTGTACTAACCGCAAGTCTTTGACTTAATAACTAGATCATCAACTAAGTCAATCCCCACTGAAGGAGGAGATAGGAAAACATACAAAATGAAGGACTGGTCTGTTGACATTTCCTGGAAAGAAAGTAATGTCTTCCACTCAGCTACTCACAGCAAGGAGTAGTTACCACAAGTATCTTAAAAGCCAAGTTTTATTAGGATGGTTTGGAGAGAGACTAGATCAGTTAGAAAAAAAAAAAAAAAAGAATTAATTGTCAGTGTCCAAGATTAGGGAAATGCTTCAATTAATTTTAATATATTCATATGTAATTTATGCAGCATTTTAAAATATCATTTTAAAAGCTAATTTCATAGCATGTAGAAACACAACATAATGATAAGAGAAAAAAGCCACAATTTAGCATAAACTTATTTTCTATCAGATGTATACTATATATTCTATATATACCTAGGCAAAAAGAGACCCCCAAAAAGAAATGCTCCAAAATATTAACAGAAGTAATATCCGGAAGGAGGAAGTATTGAGTGGTTTTTATTAGTTTCTTTCTACTACTCTCCATTTTCAAATTTCCTTCAATATGTATTCATTTGTTTGTATGATGAGTCATTTGGCAAATATTTCTTATGTATCAACTGTGAGCCACAGTGCTGTAGACATTAGAGATAGAGGCGAACACCAGTCCTCCTGCAGTTTACCCTCTAGTGAGTGGACACAGGTCATAAAGAAGAAACACGAATGAATCATCAAGACGGTGCGGATGGTGATACGGCCTGGGAATGCACCTAGTCACGATGATGAAAAGGAGAGGGAGTGGGGCCTGCAGCCCCCTTGCATGCACATCAGGGAGGATGGCCCCGAGGAGGCGCCATTACAGTTGAGACCCACTCACACAGAGAAGCCTGAAGATCTGGCAGAGGAGCAGTCCTATCAGAGGTAATGGCAAGGATGCAGGGGTTGAACTGCACCGAGACCCTGGGCCCAGGAGGATGCTTGGCTTCTTTGTAGTTGCAGTGGGGCCCCGGAAAAATGTCCACACGGGGGAATGATAACATCGCATGCCCCTCAGAAGGATGACTCTGGCCGCAGAGTGGAGAGGGGCCCCTGGTAAGAGAGGCAGAGTAGAGACAGGGAGACCTGTTAAGAGACGTGTTTTCTTATAATTTGCCAATTCTGTAATATCCGTTTCTACAAGTGTGAAATGAGGCTGTTGGGCTAGGCCAGTGATTTCTAAGAGCACCTCCAGTAATTAAAAAAAAAACGTTATTATTTTTTGTGTTTCTGTTTACCTTTTCGCGAAGCATGTAGGCCTCTTAAACACAGGGCCCAAGCCTTGTTCCCCCCTCTTTCTTTATTCCCAGTGCACCGCCACACACTTCTCAGGTCCCAGGGAAGGAGTGCAAGTCATGGGGGTGTATGGATGGATGAGTCATTAGTTCTCACGGTGAGTTTCTACTGTGCTTCTTGGGAACTTGCCTGCCCGCCGAGGTCTTTATCCTGAAGGTAATAGGGAACCACTGAAGGTTGCTTCTGTGTTTTAGAAAGTTCTGTGTCTCGGGCAGTAATGAAGGGAAATCTGGAGAG